TGGAAATGACAGATCAGATAAAGGGCTAGTATCCAAAATCTATAAAGAACTCATCAAACTCAACACCCAGAGAACAAAGAATCCAATCAAGAAATGGGCAGAAGACATGAACAGACATTTTTCCAAAGAAGTCATCCAAATGGCCAACAGACACATGAAAAAGTGCTCAATATCGCTCGGCATCAGGGAAATCCAAATCAAAACCTCAATGAAATACCACCTCACACCCGTCAGAATGGCTAAAATGAACAAGTCAGAAAACGGCAGATGTTGGCGGGGATGCGGAGAAAGGGGAGCCCTCCTACACTGTTGGTGGGAATGCGAGCTGGTGCAGCCACTCTGGAAGACAATATGGAGGTTCCTCAAAAAGTTGAAAATACAGCTACCATATGATCCAGCGATTGCACTACTGGGTATTTACCCCAAAGATACAAAAGTAGGGATCCGAAAGGGTACATGCACCCCGATGTTTATAGCAGCAATGTCCACAATAGCCAAACTGTGGAAAGAGCCAAGATGTCCATCGACAGATGAATGGATAAAGAAGAGGTGGTATATATATACAATGGAATATTATGCAGCCATCAAAAGGAATGAGATCTTGCCATTTGCAACGACGTGGATGGAACTGGAGGGTATTATGTTGAGTGAAGTAAGTCAAACAGAGAAAGACATGTATCATATGACCTCAGTGATATGAGGAATTCTTAATCTAAGGAAACAAACTGAGGGTTGCTGAAGTGGGGGGTGGGGTGGGAGGGAGGCTATGACTGGGTAATAGACACTGGGGAGGGTATGTGCTCTGGTAAGCGCTGTGAATTGTGCAAGACTGTTGAATCTCAGATCTGTACCTCTGAAACAAATAATGCAATATACGTTAAGAAAAAAAAAAAAGAAGAAGAAGGTAGCAGGAGGGGAAGAATGAAGAGGCGGAAATCGGGAGGGGTAGACGAACCATGAGAGACGATGGACTCTGAAAAACCAACTAAGGGTTCTAGAGGGGAGAGGGGTGGGAGGATGGGTTAGCCTGGTGATGGGTATTGAGGAGGGCACATTCTGCCATGGAGCACTGGGTGTTATGCACAAACAATGAATCATGGAACACTACATCTAAAACTAATGATGTAATGTATGGGGATTAACATAAGAATAAAAAAATTAAAAAAAATAAAAATAAAAAAATAAAACCAAGGGTTAGATGTTCAACTGACTGAGCCCCTTAGGTGCCCCTTAGTTTTAATTTCTAGTATAGAAAATATTGATAGATTATGTCCTATATAAGCAAACGCTCTATAAGCTCTTCAATAATTTTTGAGAGTACAAAGGATCTTGAAATATAAATGTGAACAATTGAAAAAAAAAAAAAAGATGGAATACTGAAAACATTCAAACAATCCAAAAGACTGCAGGAAGGAGGAAACAGGAAAAAAAACATAAACAAAGAGAACAAGTAAGTTATATGTTAAAGCTAAATCCAAACATAATGACATTAAATGTAAATGGTCTAAACATACCAATTAAAGACAGAAATTCTGAGAACACATAAAAATGCATGACCCAACTATATGCTATCTACAAAAAATGCACTTCAAATATTTTTATATAGTTAAAAGTAAAAACATGAAAAACAACATACCATGCAAACACTAATCAAAAGAAAGCTAGAGTGGCTATATTAATATCAAAGTAGACATCAGGGCAAAGAAAATCACAAGGGATGAAAAGTGAAAAGGGACTATACATAATGCTTTAAGGGTCAATTCACCAAGAAGACACAACAATACTGAATGCACATGCACTTACTAGCAGAGTTTCAGAATACATGAAGCAAACACCACTTTTACACAACCTTTTCTAGAAATAGGACACAGTGTATGATTCTATTTAGATGTCATTCTTGAAAAGACAAACTATAGCGACAGAGAATAGACTGGTGGTTGCTAGGGACTGAGTGAGGGAGAGTAGGAATATAAAGAAATACCACTAGGGAATTTGGGGGGTGATAAACTATCCTGTACCCTGTGTTGGTGGTTACATGAATCTACAAATATGTTAAAACTCATAGGACTGCACACCAAATAAAAACAATTTTGAGTAGATGAAATTTCACCTTATGGAAATTTTTACAATAAAATTAATTAAAGCACAGGAAGAAAAAAAAAAGAAAGCAGGCACTGAAATCAGACCCACTTGAATTTGAAACCTGTTCTGCAGTAGTTGGGCAACACCTTTGGGCAGGTTAATCTTCTTCCGCCTTGGTTTCTTCACTTGTGAAGAAATGAGAATGACGGTATATCTATCTACCTCCCAGTCCTATTGGGAGCAGTACTAAGAAATTAGGAAACCTTTCTTATTTTCGTTAGCCTGTTGCCTGATAGTAAGTGGACTATAACTATGACCTATTACACTTTATCCCATAATCATTGTTTTTCAAGATTCCTTTCTGTTAGAGTAATTCCATCACTCATTTGTTCCATGATGGTGAACAAACACAGAGGGGTGGAAAATTTTCAAGACTCTAAGATACTTTTGATGGCTGATTTTGCCTTTCATACGTGATCTCTGGCACAGTATTTAACCCACAGTACATGCCTTAGGTAACTAGTGCTTCAATTCCTGACACTAAAAAACTGGTCTAATTATAGTTTCACTCAGGTATAAGCTCTTTCGAAAATTAGAAAACAGATACAAAAGTCTTAGTCTAGAAAACAAAATGCTGATATTACACATTATCTTTTATTCCAGTGAATTCTAAGAACTGTAATTATTTTGATATCTGATGTTGGATGGACAACCATTAGAGGGTTTCTAATGTATGATCAGCAAAGTAGTGCTTTATGATTCTCCTGGGATGCTTTTTAAAACTGAGGAGGCCTACTACTGAGTCAGAATTTCTGGGGGTCAGCAATTTTACTTTTTAATAATCCCCCCAAGTGACTTTTATGCACACCAAAGTATGAGATCCCTGACATTACAGATTAAAATAAGCAGCTATTAGCTAGGATTTGATTTTTTTATAAGCTTTATAGAGACATTTTTGTAATGTATTTCATCTATATAATCACTCCTTCTCATTACACAACACGATTTACAGGATAAAGGAAAACAGAATCAGTTACTTTAGATCACATTATTTACTAAGCAACTTCCTGGAAATCTGCCTACAGCATTGCAACATTACTTGTATCACAGTTGGTCAAGACCAGAGGTACTGACCCAACTAGTTGTCCATGACCCAGCCACTGACACTGTTCTTTCCCAACACATGAAGCTTTCCTCAGTTTTCTCTTTCTTCCCAGTTTGATGCTCCTTTCTCATTTCCCTCCCTCTGCCCCCAACTCCTTTTTTAACGTAGAAAAGTAATTCAGTGATTGGGTACATTGGGTAAAAACACTGGACAACTCTAAAAATATGTCTAAATCCACTGATGTAAAAACGTATGTATTTTTATCAAGATATGCCAAGCTATGTTAAGTGAAAAACAAAAACAAGGTTCGAAAGAGTATGTACAGTCCGCTGTATTTAATAAAGGAGAAAAAAGTCATATTCATTATTTACCTAAAGACACTTTGGAAGGACAAATAAAGTGGCTACCAGGGAAGGAGCAGGATGTGACCTAAGGAGAGGGGGAACTGGAAGCATGGGGGTGGGGTGAGATCAAGCACTGTCCTTATAGATCTTTTATATCATTTTGATACCTGAATCATGGAAATACACTATTACCTAAAATATTTCCATTTAAAAGGAAAAAAAAAACAGCCTTTGATGTACAGAAAATCCAACTTCCGTGTATTTTTTGCTGTATCTACTCTATCCTGCTTCTCCTTGACCTTAAGGGAATTGTGCCTTTTTCAGTTTCTTCAGCATCTTTCTTGTGTTTGTTTACACAAAGAGGCAAATGTTTATCTTATTTCCTACTTTCTTATGCAAATTTAAGATAGTATACACACATTACTTTGCACACTTTTTCACTTCATAATATATTGGTGATTGTCCCTCACATAATATATTGGTGATTTGTCCCCTAGCTGTATAGTAATACATTATGTAGATATTTAGGCCACAGCTGATGCATACTTGAGTCATTTCCAATTACTAGCTGTGCCCAAATGTTGTCAAGAATAATCTTGTGAACACCTCATTTTGTATGAGTATGAATTCCTAGAAATGAGATGGTGGGTTCAAAGGTAAATGCATTTTAATTGTAATAGATATTGCCACTTGCCCCTCACAAGGATTGCATAATTTTGTGACCGTATCTGTCTTTCCATAGCCAATAAAGTACATTAACAAACATTTAGACTCTTACCAATCTGTGAAGTTAAAAATAAAAAGTCATCGTAGTTTAATTTATATTTCTGTAACTTTAAGTAAGGTTGAGCATCATTGCATCTGTTTATAGGCCATTTGTATCTCTTTTTTGGTGAACTATCAGTTCTTCTGACCTGCTTCTTCATAGCTATATGAACTTGGGCCATTTCTATTCCCTAAATCTCAGCCTTTTCTCCTGTAAAATGGGCATAATGACAACAGCACAGGTCCGAGAGTTTTTGCAAAGATTAAATGGAATAAACAAACACAGCTTAGTAAAGTGCCTGGCACATGGCAAATGCTCCATAAACTGGTGTGGCCATTATTTGTTCTAACTCCCTTGTCATTCAATTCCCTTTGTTCTTCCCCCATCTCCTGTTACCACTGAAAAATAACAGAAATAATTTTTGGAAGGCTTACCACCTAGAGCACGGTATTAGGAGGTACATATAGCATCTCACAGAATCTTTACAAGAATCCTAGGAAGTATTCTCAGAAGAAAAATGAAGGTTCACACTGGTGAAGTTTCTCATCCAAGGTCATGCAGCTGGTAGAAAGCAGAGCTGAGATTCTAACTCAGGACTGTCTGATTCCTAAGTCTCTACTTTTTCTCTTATGTCATGCTTTCTTAAGTATGAGGAATCAGAAGGAAATGATATTACCTCTGGAGTATCACTGGACATACTTACAGGGGTGTTTCTGTATTTTCCAAGGCTAGTAAATCCACCTGTGGATGAAGACTGGGGTTCAAGTTGTTTGTTACAACAGGACTTGGAGAGTTGAAATCTAGAACACAAAATGGACTTGTTTGGTTTTAAAACATTTTGTCATTCAGTTGTTCTGTTTGATTCTCCACAATAAAAACAACAAAAACACAACAGATATTTCTGCCACCATAAAATGATTTCCTCAAACAGAAATTATGAGACTGACGTGCTACCTACTGCGCTAACGAGGCACCTCCTCAAACAGAAATTAAAGGACATTATTAATGGTAACTGGAAAGAGAAATGCTGCCACAAAAAGAGGATGTTGTGAAGGTAACAAATGTTAATTATATCCGGTTTTCTGAAATCCCAAATTTATCTAGAATGGAAGGGATTCTGTGTGTCTTGTTCTCTCAAGCACAAAAGTAAAAAGCTAGGGCATATATGGAGCTCTACTCTCTCCTGCCCAAGCTCTCAACTTCCTATAATCCTAAGAGTACACCCCAAAGTAGGAAAGTCTCAAAGGTTGGGTGGCTAAAATGTGGCAGACAGGGGATTTCAACTTGGACTTCTACCTCAAAAACCTTGTTTTTTTCTCCAATTTCACCACCATGTAGATCAGTCCTCCTAATTCCTGACTTTCTCTATCTGCGTCAAATATTCCCTTACCTAATGCTGTAGCATAGCAGAGAAACCCAAAGGTCATGTGTGGTTCAGAGTGGTTTTAAGTTTGGCCATGATGTTGAACCACCTCTATTAAAGCAGGCCAGGTGAATTCGATGAGATTCTAAGACAGGGGGATGAGTTTCAGGGATCCAACCCCCTTCCCCCCCAGATACATCCCATTGCTGGGTTTGACCCAACCATTTGCCAAGGAATAATTACATCTCCTGATACAGTTCTCTGATATTCAAACGGACTTCAGTCCTTCCCAGGTTGCATTTAATCATGAAACCAAGCAGAACTGTTTCACATCAAGCTCTTCTGCTGGTCTGAAAGGCCCATGTGCTTATTTACTTAAGTCTGAAAGCTGAGCATTCGTGGTGTTGAGTTCTCCCAGAGAGGCCCTAGGCATTGGAGGACTGAGTCTAAGGCCCAAGAGATCACAAGATGGGGCAGAAGGTTCACTGGCAGTCTGAAAACAAAGCAAACAAAAATACAATTCAGAAAAAATGTGTCAGGTAATTCATCATGGCTTTCTCCCCAGGGACTTTTTTTTTTTTTGAGAAAGGAAAATCCTATTTGGATGCATCTCAAAGGAGAACACTCTGTTCAACAGGCAACACTCGTACTAATCACATCTCACCACCTACATGAGTTTCTACATAATCAGACAATATTCTTGTGACCTCTTATTAGTAACTTAATAACATCGAATTGTTAAGGCAAACACTCTACACCACCAAAACCACTCCAAATTTTTAATGGATGTCTCCTCTGTTTTAAGACTTGTTTTAGGTAAGCCTTATTCCCTACTGTACAATTTGTAAAATGCTCAATTGTTTTTTATAACATTTTTGTTCACTTACATTGGCATCTTCCCCCTGGTTCCTATTTTGCTCCAAAATCCTTTGTTGTTTCCGAGTGAATCTGTTTGAGAGCAAAACTTAAGTATTTAAAAGAAAACAGATATGAAAATGCTATAATCCTTAAAAATTATTAACATGCGAATATTCTGGAAACAAAGACAATCAGCCTCATCCCCACTGACTCCCAAAAAAGTACTTTAATAAATTTTTCTTCCAAAAAAAAATCTTTTTTTCCAGTTTATAGGGGTTGTAATGCCTTTAGAGAAAACTGTGAGAAAATACATATTAAAAACTAGTAATAGGGGTGCCTGGGTGGCTCAGGTGGTCGAGCATCTGACTCTTGCTTTCAGCTTGGGTCATGATCTCAGGGTCATGAGAGCAAGCCCCACATCAGGCTCTGCATTGGGCATGGAGTCTACTTGAGGTTCTCTCTCTCTCCTCTGCCATTCTCCCTACTCATGCACTCGTGCTCTCTCTCAAATAAATAAAATAAATTTAAAAAAATGAGTAGTAGTTCCATCACCTAGAAATGGTCCCTATTAACATCATGATGTATTTCCTTTTGGTATCTTTTTCTGTAAATTAATCTGTTTTAAAGCTTATTTTGCAATTATATTTCACATAGTTCTGTATCCTAATTCAATTATGTTGTGAGCATTTTTCCAGTTATTCAGAAATGCAATTTTTAGTGGCTGCATATTTTACCTTTTATGAATGTAGCATACATTTAACTTTTTTTTTTTTAACACATTTTACCTATCCATTTGAGAGACAGAGCACGAGTGGGGGAAGAGGCAGAGGGAGAAACAGACAGCCCCCCACCCCAAGCTGAGCATGGAGCTGGACACGGGGGCTTGATCTCAAGACCCCGAGATCATGACCTGAGCCGAAGTCAGACGCTTAAACGACTGAGCCACCCAGGTGCCCCCACATTTAACTATTTTTAATCTCAGATATTTAACTTGTTTCCAATCCTGCCATTATAAATAATGTTCCATAACAATTCCAATACATTTAACATATTTTCAGCTTATCTTCATTTTTATGACACCCTTACAACTTAAATTTTACATTGCTCGTACATTGGGAATAAAAGAGGAACAGATGAGTAAATAAACAATAGGTTTGACCTCAATGAGATACCTCACACCAGTCAGAATGGCTAAAATTAACAAGTCAGGAAACGACAGATGTTGGCGGGGATGCAGAGAAAGGGGAACCCTCCTACACTGTTGGTGGGAATGCAAGCTGGTGCATCCACTCTGGAAAACAATATGGAGGTTCCTCAAAAAGTTGAAAATAGAGCTACCATACGATCCAGCAATTGCATTACTGGGTATTTATCCCAAAGATACAAATGTAGGGATCCAAAGGGGTACGTGCACCCCGATGTTTAGAGCAGCAATGTCCACAATAGCCAAACTGTGGAAAGAGCCAAGATGTCCATTGATAGATGAATGGATAAAGAAGATGTGGTGTATGTATGTATATATATATATATATATATATATATATATATATATATATATATATATATGGAATATTATGCAGCCATCAAAAGGAATGAGATCTTGCCATTTGCAACGACGTGGATGGAACTGGAGGGTATTATGTTGAGCGAAATAAGTCAAACAGAGAAAGACATGTATCATATGACCTCACTGATACGAGGAATTCTTAATCTCAGGAAACAAACTGAGGGTTGCTGGAGTGGGGGGTGGGGTGGGAGGGATGGGGTGGCTGGGTGATAGACACTGGGGAGGGTATGTGCTATGGTAAGTGCTGTGAATTGTGCAAGACTGTTGAATCACAGATCTGTACCTCTGAAATAAATAATGCAATATATGTTAAGAAAAAAAAAAAAGAAGAAGATAGCAGGAGGGGAAGAATGAAGGGGGGGAAATCGGAGGGGGAGACGAACCATGAGAGAAGATGGACTCTGAAAAACAAACTGAGGGTTCTAGAGGGGAGGGGGGTGGGAGGATGGGTTAGCCTGGTGATGGGTATTAAAGAGGGCACGTTCTGCATGGAGCACTGGGTGTTATGCACAAACAATGAATCATGGAACACTACATCAAAAACTAATGATGTAATGTAATGTATGGTGATTAACATAACAATAAAAAATAAAAATAAATAGGTTTGAAAGAATAGTGAAGTTGAAGTCAGTAGTCCAAGGATCAAGTGTCAGCTTTATTATCACATAGCTATAGGATCGTGGATATAGCTTCTGATCCTCAGTTCTCTGCTAAAAGAGAATAGCAGCATTTGAAGCATTTCCTCAGAAAGTTATTCTCAGGGGTGACCCCTAGAAAGATAATACAGGTGGATGAATGTGGAAATGCTTTGCAAACTAAGAATTGCTTTAGAAACATCCTAAATTAGAACATGCCCTTAGGTTTAAGGGTTTTTTCCCTTTCTAGAACACATGTTTTTTCTTCCACCTCCTCATGGCATTGGCTTTTTGTACACTAGTTATGTGCTGGGTAAGAACAACCCTCACAGATCAAGCCTCGAGTAGCAAACTTCTGTTTTCTTATTTGCACAACTCTTCCCTAGATGTAATGAGCAGAGACTTTGGGGGATGTTGGAATAGGGCAAATGTATTTTGCATGTGGATAGATCTGAATCTTTGGGGAAGAGAGGGCAGACTGTGATGAACAGAATGGGGCTCCCCCCTTCCAAAATATCTATACCCTAGTCATTGGAACAGTGAATATGTTAGGTTGGATGGCAAATGTAAGGTTGCCTTAATAAGGAGACTTTAATAGGGAGATTAGCCTGGACTATACAGATGAGCAATGTAACGACAAAGGCCCTTAAATGTGAAGAGGCAGGCAGAAGGGGAAGCAAGAATGATACAATATAAAAAAACTCAACCAGACCATGTTGGCTTTGAAGATGGTGGAAAGGGATCATGAGCCAAGGAGAGTGGGCAGCCTCGAGAAGCTGCAGAAGTTAAGCAAACGGATTCTCCTCTAGAGCCTCCAAAAAGGAATGTACCCCTATTGACACCTTGATGTTAGCCCGGCAAGACCCATTTTGGACACTTACAGAACTGTAGGATAATAAGTTTAGGCTGTTTTGAACCACTAACTTTATGATAATTTGTTACAGCAGCTACAGAAAACTAATATACCAAGACTACTATCTTTTCTAGAGGCAAAAAAATATCTCTCTGAATCTTAGGACTTCAGTGTTTCTGTCCCACAATTGAGTGCAGTTACTTTTGGCACACATGGTTCAGGGCTCAATCAGAATGAGCCATTCACAGAAGGAACCCAATCTCTTGATATCTAGACCCAATAAACAGACATTCCCCTTCAGAAGAAACTTTTAGCCAGTGGTCTTAATGGTTTGCAATAGAATTCCCCAAAAGGAAAACCAGAAGGCAGCATACTGCTGACAGCCACGTGGTTTTCCTGAGCTTGTCTTCCACTTACTAAGATCTATGCCGCAGAAAACAAAAGGCAAGAATTTGAGTTTGTTGAGCACTCAGACAACACTGGTTGCTGGGCTCACATGCTCAGTCAACGCACGGTCACCTCTTCATATGAATGAATGGCTGTGGTCTCTGAGAGGCAGTACGTAAGAGACAGTAAAGGAAAAAACTCATTTCATAGCTATTGGTTTTATTTCACTCGTTCTCTCCGTTCATTCACGATCAACAGAAAAAACTCTAAGTCAATAAGTTAAGAGGCCCAGTGGGATGTTAAGGGGGAGGAGGAAGAAATTAATGTTTAATGAGTGTCCACATGCCAGCACTCCCCAAGGTGCTTTCATATACATGAACTCCTTTAGTTCTCAAAACAAAAATGAAACACTGCAAATAGGTAATATTAGCCTCTTTAATAAAGAGGAACATACTTAAGTCTTAAAAAGGTAAGCAATTTTCCCAGATATCACCAAGATTTGATTCATAAAATATTTTTTTTGAATCCAGCCGTGTTCCCCTATTTCCCTTATGAACCACTAAGTAGGGTCCACACAAGGGAAAACTGTCTCACCCAAAATACCAACATCACTCCTATTGAGAAACGATCTAGAAAAAGTGTGGGGTGCACACATGCTCTAGAATCACTATGACAGGAAGTCCTAGGGATAGTTTTGGAAAGAGATCACGAGACTTGCCTGGAGCTGTAGGACTTTTTTTTTCTCTTTTTTCAAGGTTCCTAATAATAGATCTTTGGGAGCACTTATGTACAACTGTTTTATACAATATTTTAAAAGCACTGAAATAAGTTGCTTTATATACGTGACATTAATTGTTAACTCAGATTCACTCACTTTAACTTTTTATTAGGAAACTTTCAAACCTATAGAAAAGTAAAGAGAACAGTATGATGAACACCCCTGTATTCATCAGCTAAGTTTAATAACCGTGTATCTTTTGCCAGATTTGCTTTATATGTTTTTTGCTGAAATATTTAAAATTATATACTTTAGGACATTTCATGCCTAGATATTTTAGAGGGCATTCTCCAAAAATAAAGGCATTTTCCAACTTAACCACCGACTTAACCATTATATTTTCCCCCTTAAGTCCTTAATATTAATTAATATTCCATCCATAGTCAAATTTCTCTCAGTAGCAACTAAATGTTTTTTAATGTTAGTGTGCTCAAAGTAGGATCCAGGTAAAGCCCACACATTACATTTGGTTGCTGTTCCTTTTATTTATTTATTTATTTACCTTTTGACCCCCTTCCCCCATTACTCCCCCCCCCAACCCCCCACCCCTAACCCCCGTACCTCTGGCAACCACACCAAGTTCCTCTGCATCTATGAGCTTGGTTGTTTTGTTTGCTTGTTAAATTCCACACATTTTTATACATTAAGACAAAGGAAAAAGTCACCTGTCAGTCTAGGCATGCCCCAGCTCCTGGGGGATGGATCCTGGCTGCTCACTCTCTCCCCAGGCCTGTGTGCTTTTCCATAGCTTCACAAACCCTCCAAGCTCCTGCACTGCTCCTTGTTCCATCGATGCCCACTCATTTTGCAGTGCTCACCATAATGGCACCTCCTCATCGACACTCCCCTTTTCCCCCTCCTCCCCACCTGGATTAGGTCTGGCTGATATTCTCACCAAGCCGACCTCTTGCACTTTGTTTCACTGCACATATTTCAATTTCCAAGTGTATCTATTTGTACTCAAAGTGTTTTTCTGACTTAGAGCCTTGCCTATTCCAGTAGATTATAAGACTCTTATTTTGATGAATAAATGAGTTAGAAACAACTAAAATGCCTAATAAGTGAACTGGGAAAGGGACTATTATGGAGCTCTTAAACATAACAGCTTATCAAAAGGAATTCAAAGCATAGGCTACACAAATACTTGTTATGCGGTGAATAAAATTGGAGAAACAGAAGTGTATGTTCTTTACATGATCACAACTGAAAAAAAAAAAGTAGGAAAAAGACTAAAATGTAGTGACAAAATGATGAATATTTAAAATTTTTGTCCTCATACTTTTCTGAATGGAAATTTAGGAAAAAACCTATGTTCATACACAAAATGTCCTCACTACTGCTCTGGTTTTGTATAGACTATTTTCTTCATATACAATATCCTCCCCTCTCCTCTGCACTGTTCTGTGTTCTTGTCCATCTCGAACTTAGGATAAACCTCACTTTTACCATGATGCTGTTTATACTGTTCATCTGTTTGAGTCTACAATGAGCTCAGTACAGACATTATCAGGTGAATAAGACCCAGCCCCTGCTATGGTCAGATGTTTACACTGCCCGAGAATGCCCCCAGCACTGCATAGATGTACAACTCATTCTTGCAAGCCGTATCACAAGCTCCCAGAAGGCCAGGACCATATTCCCTCTCTTGGAAGGAAGGCAGCCTTGTCCTGAAGCTGTTCCTGGTCTTAACTGAGTGTTTACCCAGCAGGTACTCTTATAAGAATGCTGAGCCACTGCTGGAGAAACTACAAGTGCAGGAGGGTAGGGAGGGTGCACATCAGCTCACCTCTCACATCCAAGGAGGGCGTTATTCAAATCCTCATTCACCTGAATTAGCTCAACAGTTACATCTTCATTCTCCACCACTATGAGCAGGTCCATGATCCTCTCCTGCATCTCTCGACCTGTCTTATAAAGTTTCTGTCAAAGAAAGGAGAGAAATTTCTTTTTCTGTGCTAGGGAAGTTCTATAAAGAAACTCATGTACCAATGCTGGTTGCTCACTTCCTCCATGAATCACCTACAGGAGATTACCAAAGTATGTAATTATGTACAACCTGTCCTTCTTATCAGAAGGCAATAAGTTACACATGATTATATTTTCCTCTAAAAACCAAAATAGGTGTCATAAGAACAAGATGGTACACTGCACAGAACACCAGACTAGAGATTAGAACTGGTGTATGGGAATTCTAGAGGTACTGCTTACTAGCTGCAGAATACAGAAATCACTTGTTTTCTAAATCTGTTTCCTCATTTGATAAATGAAAGTTATATTAATTGCCACATCTACCTCAAGGGGTGATATAAAAAGCAAATGAGATGTGTATAATGAGGAACTCTAGCACTATAAAGCACTACATAAAACACAAAATGCTTACTGTCGCTATTAGTGATAGTAGAAGAAAGAAGTAGTTAAAATATTTATAGTGGCATAATTTTCCTATTACATTTTACTTAAATATTTAAAGTTTACAATTACAACATCACATCCCAACATAAACCGAACCAAAATTAGAAGGAAAAAAAGGTCAGGAATACTATCCTTGTTAGGACTACCTGGAGTCACTGCATTAAGCCAGGACTGCACTCCCCAAATTAGCTTTTCCTCATAAGCATCAGGGGCATCTACAGCCGACACACTGATTCAGAATCCCCAGGGCTGAGGGCCTGGGAATATATACGTATACATATTCATATATACATATACACACACACAAATACATATATATATATATATATATTATTTTTTAGTAAGCATCCTGAAGTGTTTTTTATGTACATGGACAATTTGAAAACTGCTGTCTTACAACTTATATCCTTATAGGCAAGCTTGAGGAGCATAAAATATTCATATTTCTTCAAACCCACCTCAGCTAGAATTTGTAAACATAATAGTATATTAAGGTCAGGCAAGAACACCTTCAAAATGAGAGCAACAGAACTTGCTAGATCGTTAGACTATTCCACTATCTTACTCATTTTCCCTCAAGAAAGACAGACCTGTTGAAAAACTTATAGTCGGCAAAACCCATTTAGAGTCTCAAACCATCTATTACAAGAGTCCTGATAGGAAATCTCTAAAGAAATCAATCAAAGCATTAATAACTAGCATTTGGACTCAGAGGTAAAAGCCACTACCCTCTACAGAATCCTAACAAAAATATTTGGAAGACAAAAGGAAATGAAAAGGAAAAAAGTGATACAGACAGATAAAGGATAGACTCTGGGTTTTGTAACTGCAATCTGCAGCCAGAAAAACTGTCCTCTTTGCTAATGACATGGCCACTATCAGCAGGGGTTGGCAAACTTTTTCTTAAAGGCCCAGATAGTATTAAATATTTTCTGCTTTCTGGACCATATGTTCTCTGTCAGAGAACAGAACTACCTAACTTTGCCATTATAACATAAAAGAAACCACGGGTGATATGCAAATAAGTGGGTGTGCCCATATCCTAATAAAACAAAGACAGGTGTTAGGCTAAATTTGGCTTTCTATGGCCCCCTGGAATAGTGCAAAGAGAGCAGACTTTAGACTCTGTAGACCAAAGGCCGCCCCCATATGCATACCTGACATGGGATTTAGTTAAATTTTAGATTCAGTTTTGTTTTTTTACACATCTATAAAACAAGGATAACAACTATCTTGCAGGGTTGTTGTAAAAATAGGAAACGGTAAAGTTGAAACCCCAGGGTGACTGGCATACAGTGGGTAGTCAATAAATGTATTAATGATTGCATAAGAAGTATCACTGGAAAGTTAACCAGATAGCTAATAAAACCCTGTATTACAACTTTACTCAGGACCCAATGTTCTTCTGAGAGAACAAAGAACAGCACTTAACCCCCATGATGAACGAGAACTTTTCCATTACTGAGTATAATGAAATTGTTCTTGCTCACTGGCAGCCTTGCTAGAGCCATGTCAAGATCAAGGAAATACAATGGCTGTTAGATGCCCATGACAAAAATGTAGAAATTAATTTGAAATGAATTTGCAGCCAACATCAATAGCCCCCGGTCACAAGAAGACCCTCTCAAAAGATAGATGGAATAGAAACATGAAAGGAACATCACATTTCTCAGCAGGTTTGCAGAGCAGAATTTGAAAAACCTCTTCAAAAGCCAGCCCACTCTGATCTTTGCAATTGATGTCTGTCTCCGAGGAGGGCCATGCCACCTGGAAAGAGCCTAGATCAAGCACCATGAACCAAGAGGATGGGTCAGAAGTTCCCCCGCAGCAGGTACCTGCAGGGCTGTGGATGTGGGGAGCCAGGGGGGGGAGAGAGTCAAAACACAGAGTAACAGCCGCTGGTGCATATGTCCATCACAGAGCCCCTGGAATTGCCCCCCTTAAATACCATATCAAAGCAAAGGCAGGCTTCTCAGTTCAAGGGAATTTAACAATCAGTTCAAAAGTCTTTAGAGCAAAACAAAAAGAGCTCATTAAGAGCTTCTTCTCCTGACATCCAGATGGCTCCTAGTCCTCCATAGAGGACTCAGGAATTAAGGAAGGAGGTCCTTTTGCACTTTCAACTCCAACTGCAGCAGCCCACATTCAGCAACAGAGTCCAACTCAATAAAAAGAAAAAAATAGAAGTGCCTGAACATCTCCCCTGAAAAAATGAAAATGGGAAGAAATGTGTTTCTTGCAAGCCTTCTCTGGAAATAATACCTGCAAGGCAATACTGTTATCAGCCCATAACATATTTCCTCCCTATCTGTCCTCCCTACCCAGACTGCAGGAGCCCCAGAGAACATCTCTATCTGCAAAAAAATAAAAAACTACCCCTCCCACCCTAAAACTAAACAGTTCTCAGCGTCACTTGCTTGTAGTCCTTTTCCTTTACAGAGATGCCAGCTGAATGAATAGCAAATTAATGGTCAAGATCATACTCAAAAAGATCATTAACTCAGTAGAGTCCTTCTGATTCTTTTTCCTAACCAAATATTATCAAAATTTTATTTCCCCAAAAGGCTTTGTCTTCAGTAATTCCTTACCTCCTTTATCCTAAAGTCATTAATTCTTCAACAAAGATCATCAATCTATTCGACTCAACAGAAATTTAATGAACTCAGGGCGCCTGGGTGGCTCAGATGGTTAAGAGTCTGCCTTCGGGGGCGCCTGGGAGGCTCAGTTGGTTAAGCAACTGCCTTCGGCTCAGGTCATGATCCTGGAGTCCCTGGATTGAGTCCCGCATCGGGCTCCCTGCTCAGCGGGGAGTCTGCTTCTCCCTCTGACCCTCCCCACTCTCATGCTCTCTCTCTATCTCATTCTCTCTCTCAAATAAATAAATAAAATCTTAAAAAAAAAAAAAAAAAGAGTCTGCCTTCGGCTCAGTCATGATCTACGGGTCCTGGGATCGAGCCCCTCGTCAGGCTCCCGGCTCAGCAGGGAGTCTGCTTCTCCCTCTGCCTCTGCCTTTCCCCCGGCTTGTGCTCTCTGTCAAATGAATAAATAAAATCTTAAAAAAAAAAAAGAAATTTAATAAACTCATTCAGTGTGCAAAGCATGTGCTATAAACATGCATAGTTGTATGGATTTAGAAGTATACGACTTGGTTACTGCCTTCAAGTTGCTTCCAACCTAGCTAGAGAGCTAGGGAAAAAACAGGTGAGCCATCTATACTAGAAAGTCAATGAGAAGCAAGCTGGTATAATGGATAGAACACAGGTTCAGGAGAACAAGGTTCTCCTTCCAGCTCCATGACTTGCCACTGTAAAGGAAGGGAGATGGTCTCAGAGATAATGTCCCTTCCACAAGTTTCTGAATGGTAAAGACAATAAATGTCCAGTGGAGGACTTTTTATTTTACTGTGTTCCCCCCCACCCCCGCCCCCACCCCGCAACTGGTAACAAATTATCCTTATAGCATGAAATTTTAGATTGACCTGATTTTAAACTTCTCTACTAAGTTAGACTAAGGCTTTCTCCAGTTGTACGCTTTGTTTTTTTAAAGATTTTATTTATTTATTTGACAGAGAGAAAGAGAGTGAGAGAGGGAACACAAGCAGGGGGAGCTGCAGACAGAGGGAGAGGGAGAAGCAGGCTTCCCGTTGAGCAAGGAGCCCGTTGTGGGGCTTGATCCCGGGACTCTGGGATCATGACCTGAGCCGAAGGCAGACACCTAACCAACTGAGCCACCCAGGTGCCCCATCTCCAGTTATACTCTGAAACAGAGCTTGCTTTCTTCTACAGAAGACTAAATCATTCTCTCCTTTCATTGCCCCACTGGGGCTAGGCAAAAGAAAGAGAAGACTGAAATGAGAGGTACCAGGGAAGTCAGTTATTCAAGGTAAGAGTAAAGTAGCCCAAAGCCAAGTGTAAAATGCCAAGAAAGCAAAGGCAAGACTCACGCCACAACATTTTATCCCTGTGACCAGAGCAGAACTCTTGACTCATCACAACACTCAAGACTGGATGCTGCTCAGACTCTTTGTACCCTACTCTGGGAAACTAAAAGAAATCCAGTTTCCACCCCCAATGAAGGTCAAAGTCCACGAGCAATATGGAAGCAGGGAAAGGTGTCTACTACACAAAATAGTTTTCCTGCCTAAGAGACTAACAAAGAGCAGGCGCCCTGCTAGTTAGCAGGGCTTCAGGATCTAATTGTTTAGCCTGAGCTGGAAGAACCAATAAGGGAGTTCATATATACCAGATTTCAGATGGAGGGACACAGACAGGGAATGGGCTGCAATTAACATAACAGCTGGTAGCAAGTAAGCACCCGCAGACAAAACAGAAGAGATTCCAAGTACAGAGGCTGGTTTTAACATTAACAAATTGCACATTAAGACTGTGACCACTGGGGCGCCTGGGTGGCTCAGTTGGTTAAGCGACTGCCTTCGGCTCAGGTCATGATCCTGGAGTCCCGGGATCGAGTCCCGCATCGGGCTCCCTGTTCAGCGGGGAGTCTGCTTC